TAGGTAGAAAAGAAAAAATCTTAACTTTTATAAAGAATATCTCTTTGGATTTGAGACTTTAGTCTTTGCAACTTTACAGATCTTCTTTATGCACCAAGAGCTTGTAACACTCCAAAGAGAAAGGAAAAATTTAAATCGCATCATATGACCCCTTTAAAAGTGCTTTTAGCTTATTTTTTTGTGTTTAAATTATTTGAAGTCATCTTGAAGCCCCCTGGTTGAAACCACTGCTCTAGATAAATATGAATGTAAGAGTCCAGTTTCAGAGAAACCTGTTGTTTGTTTTGTGCCTCGTGTGAAACTGTTCATTGTGTAAATTAACTGTTATTTCCTGTAGTGTTGCGATTATGCTCTACCTGGCTGAGAAGTTCCACACTCCGGACCACTGGTACCCAGCTGACTTGCAGAAGCGTGCTAGAGTAAATGAATATCTATCATGGCAACACTCTGCCATACGTATACATGGATCCAAGATGCTCTGGTTCAAGGTGAGTGACGTTTATAAATTCTCATTCAAAGTTACTGTGGTGAACAGAACAGCATTTAGATTTCAGCAACTCCCAAGCTGATGGTTCACTCCTGTTGCTTTGTGACCTTGGGACTGAAGCCTGCCTAGTCTTTAGAAATGCTACACAGTTAACTGCTAACTTTTTTAGTGTAATTATTTATAAATGGAATTAAATACTTTTCTTGTATTGCTGTAGCTCTTGATTCCAAAAGCTTTAGGAGTTGAGATTCCCAAGGAAAAGATGGACAATGCAGTAGAGGATCTTAATGCATCACTGAACCTTTTTGAGGAGAAGTTTCTGCAAGACAGACCATTCGTTGTTGGTGATCAGATCTCATTGGCCGATCTGGTTGCTATTGTGGAAATCATGCAGGTATGTATGCAGATTATTCAGTTTCAGATAAAGCAATATTATAACCTGAGAATTTAAGGCAGATAATATCTGACACTCGATTTATACTTGATAAGGCCTTTTTGTTTCAGCCTGTAGGTGCTGGTATGGATGTGTTTGAGAATAGACCCAAGCTCAAGGCATGGAAGGACAGAGTCAGAGCAGAAATTGGGGCTGAGCTGTTTGATGAGGCCCACCAGGCAATCCTCTATGCCCAGGAGGCAGTGAAAACCATGGACCCCAAAAAGATGGAACACTTTAAACCCAAAATTTTGAGATATTTCCTCTCATAAACAAACTGGTAGACATTGTTGGTTAAAACAGACATTTATTCATGAAAAAAAAAACTACTTTATAATTTTCTAAATACACTTTCCATTTTGTGTAATCACTAAGAATGAAATCCGGTTAAATTGAATATGACATATAGCCTTTGTCATATTTCAGTGAATGAATGCAATAATCAATCTTTCTGTGTTAACTCGACCTCATAAAAAGAAGCAAACTTTGAACGTTTCCAGCTGTGTTCGCTCTCAAATTCTGAATTGCTGCATTCACTGTGACCTTATCATTTGAAAAACTAGGCAATAACACAGACACTCAATACAGCATTGTTTCAGAAAATCACTTAACACCCATGGGAAGGAGCTGGGAGGAATGTTTCCTCCCTCTGTGTTTATGGAATGTAATCAGATATTATATGATTTCCTGCAGAATACTCCGCATGATAAGGAATAGCATTTTGTTAATTTCTTGTAGAGAAAAGGGGTCCATTCAGTCAGCAGCATTTCCATTAAATCTCTCTAATATTGTCAATAAATGTATTTTTTGTTATCAGTCTCAGTGGTGTATTTCGTTTAGTTTCTCTTATTTATTTGTATTTTATTTTTCCATGTTTACATAGTACTGAATTAAAATGAACTCTTGTTGGGCTTTGTGGTTTTCTATTAAGAGGAACAGATAGTAAAAACTGGAACAATAACTAAAAAATTACTAAATTTATCATACAAAGCCATCATATGGTTAATCCTTATTTGGATGTCAACTATTGCTTTAAATCCGTTCTTGAGTAGTACATGATCTCCAATCTCAGAAAGTGAGATGACAATTTAGCGGGAAGTGTGTAAGAATCGTGGAAAGTCACAATATCAACAAAAGATTGTGCTTTCAGCCCACCCTGTCTCTGCCAATTTCTTTCTGAAATGCATCACTAAAATGAACCAAAACTCAGTGAATCCTTCACACACAGACATGAGAAACATATCTATGGAAAGCTTGAAGTGTCTACTTTTAAATGAAGTAAGTCTTATCTAAAACAAATATTCTCTGATGAAGTAATCCGTGTGAAACCAACGCAAGGTCCAGTCTTTCCCGTCTGAGCTCATTATCTGTAATGTGATCAAGCCCACGCGCAGTGCGCTATTCATACGGGTAATCATCCACGTGAGACGCGCGAACCTGTAAACGCCCACATCACCTCCGTAAACAAAGAAGCAAGATTCGTTTTTAGCATTCAAATATGCACTGTATGTTCATCAATACTGTTTTCAAATGTTATCAGAACCGTTTTCACTTTATTAAGGGTTTTTCCTGTCTTTAATGCTCACACAGTTAAGCCAGCATATACATACAGGTGCATCTCAATAAATTAGAATGTCGTGGAAAAGTTCATTTATTTCAGTAATTCAACTCAAATTGTGAAACTCGTGTATTAAATAAATTCAATGCACACAGACTGAAGTAGTTTAAGTCTTTGGTTCTTTTAATTGTGATGATTTTGGCTCACATTTAACAAAAACCCACCAACTCACTATCTCAACAAATTAGAATACTCCATAAGACCAATAAAAAAAAACATTTTTAATGAATTGTTGGCCTTCTGGAAAGTATGTTAATTTACTGTACATGTACTCAATACTTGGTAGGGGCTCATTTTGCTTTAATTACTGCCTCAATTCAGCGTGGCATGGAGGTGATCAGTTTGTGGCACTACTGAGGTGGTATGGAAGCCCAGGTTTCTTTGACAGTGGCCTTCAGCTCATCTGCATTTTTTGGTCTCTTGTTCCTCATTTTCCTCTTGACAATACCCCATAGATTCTCTACGGGGTTCAGGTCTGGTGAGTTTGCTGGCCAGTCAAGCACACCAACACCATGGTCATTTAACCAACTTTTGGTGCTTTTGGCAGTGTGAGCAGGTGCCAAATCCTGCTGGAAAATGAAATCAGCATCTTCAAAAAGCTGGTCAGCAGAAGGAAGCATGAAGTGCTCCAAAATTTCTTGGTAAACGGGTGCAGTGACGTTGGTTTTCAAAAAACACAATGGACCAACACCAGCAGATGACATTGCACCCCAAATCATCACAGACTGTGGAAACTTAACACTGGACTTCAAGCAACTTGGGCTATGAGCTTCTCCACCCTTCCTCCAGACTCTAAGACCTTGGTTTCCAAATGAAATACAAAACTTGCTCTCATCTGAAAAGAGGACTTTGGACCACTGGGCAACAGTCCAGTTCTTCTTCTCCTTAGCCCAGGTAAGACGCCTCTGACGTTGTCTGTGGTTCAGGAGTGGCTTAACAAGAGGAATACGACAACTGTAGCCAAATTCCTTGACACGTCTGTGTGTGGTGGCTCTTGATGCCTTGACCCCAGCCTCAGTCCATTCCTTGTGAAGTTCACTCAAATTCTTGAATAGATTTTGCTTGACAATCCTCATAAGGCTGCAGTTCTCTCGGTTGGTTGTGCATCTTTTTCCTTCCACTCAACTTTCTGTTAACATGCTTGGATACAGCACTCTGTGAACAGCCAGCTTCTTTGGCAATGAATGTTTGTGGCTTACCCTCCTTGTGAAGGGTGTCAATGATTGTCTTCTGGACAACTGTCAGATCAGCAGTCTTCCCCATGATTGTGTAGCCTAGTGAACCAAACTGAGAGACCATTTTGAAGGCTCAGGAAACCGTTGCAGGTGTTTTGAGTTGATTAGCTAATTGGCATGTCACCATATTCTAATTAGTTGAGATAGTGAATTGGTGGGTTTTTGTTAAATGTGAACCAAAATCATCACAATTAAAAGAACCAAAGACTTAAACTACTTCAGTCTGTGTGCACTGAATTTATTTAATACACGAGTTTCACAATTTGAGTTGAATTACTGAAATAAATGAACTTTTCCACGACATTCTAATTTATTGAGATGCACCTATAAGACCGTAATTAGCTGGTTCAGCTGTGTTTAATTAGGGTTGGAGCTAAACTCTGCAGGACCGAGTTTGAAGACTTCTTGCATTGATGATTCCATGAAGAACTTGTAACCAGTGGTGTATAAAGTACCTGAAAGCCATACTCAAGTAAAAGTACAGATATCTTACCAGAAAATACTTGTGTATTAAATAAATTCAATGCACACAGATTGAAGTAGTTTAAGTCTTTGGTTCTTTTAATTGTGATGATTTTGGTTCACATTTAACAAAAACCCACCAATTCACTATCTCAACTAATTAGAATATGGTGACATGCCAATCAGCTAATCAACTCAAAACACCTGCAGAGGTTTCCTGAGCCTTCAAAATGGTCTCTCAGTTTGGTTCACTAGGCTACACAATCATGGGGAAGACTGCTGATCTGACAGTTGTCCAGAAGACAATCATTGACACCCTTCACAAGGAGGGTAAGCCACAAACATTCATTGTCAAAGAAGCTGGCTGTTCACAGAGTGCTGTATCCAAGCATGTTAACAGAAAGTTGAGTGGAAGGAAAAAGTGTGGAAGAAAAAGATGCACAACCAACCGAGAGAACTGCAGCCTTATGAGGATTGTCAAGCAAAATCGATTCAAGAATTTGAGTGAACTTCACAAGGAATGGACTGAGGCTGGGGTCAAGGCATCAAGAGCCACCACACACAGACGTGTCAAGGAATTTGGCTACAGTTGTCGTATTCCTCTTGTTAAGCTACTCCTGAACCACAGACAACGTCAGAGGCGTCTTACCTGGGCTAAGGAGAAGAAGAACTGGACTGTTGCCCAGTGGTCCAAAGTCTTCTTTTCAGATGAGAGCAAGTTTTGTATTTCATTTGGAAACCAAGGTCTTAGAGTCTGGAGGAAGGGTGGAGAAGCTCATAGCCCAAGTTGCTTGAAGTCCAGTGTTAAGTTTCCACAGTCTGTGATGATTTGGGGTGCAATGTCATCTGCTGGTGTTGGTCCATTGTGTTTTTTGAAAACCAACGTCACTGCACCCGTTTACCAAGAAATTTTGGAGCACTTCATGCTTCCTTCTGCTGACCAGCTTTTTGAAGATGCTGATTTTATTTTCCAGCAGGATTTGGCACCTGCTCACACTGCCAAAAGCACCAAAAGTTGGTTAAATTACCATGGTGTTGGTGTGCTTGACTGGCCAGCAAACTCACCAGACCTGAACCCCATAGAGAATCTATGGGGTATTGTCAAGTGGAAAATGAGAAACAAGAGACCAAAAAATGCAGATGAGCTGAAGGCCACTGTCAAAGAAACCTGGGCTTCCATACCACCTCAGCAGTGCCACAAACTGATCCCCTCCATGCCACGCCGAATTGAGGCGGTAATTAAAGCAAAAGGAGCCCCTACCATGTATTGAGTACATGTACAGTAAATGAACATACTTTCCAGAAGGCTAACAATTCACTAAAAATGTTTTTTTATTGGTCTTAATAAGTATTCTAATTTGTTGAGATAGTTAATTGGTGGGTTTTTGTTAAATGTGAGCCAAAATCATCACAATTAAAAGAACCAAAGACTTAAACTACTTCAGTCTGTGTGCATTGAATTTATTTAATACACGAGTTTCACAATTTGAGTTGAATTACTGAAATAAATGAACTTTTCCACGACATTCTAATTTAGTGAGATGCACCTGTATACCCTACACTCAGCAAGCAATGTTGTATATAAAAACACTATATAGGCACATTTAAAGAAACATTTTACATTGTATGGCAGGTTTATACTAAGAATGTTAAGTTTTAGAAATGGATACCTTTGTAATCATTTTCAGTCAATATTAAATTACTGAAAGAACTACAATTTTCACTTTGAAGTGTATTTTTTTTTAGATTTGATATGTTTTCAAAGTAACTTGAAAGTAAAGTAATTAGTAATCTGATTACTTTTTACATTCAGTAATGTAATCAAATTACAGTTTTCAAGTAGTAATAAGTAATTTGTAATCAATTACTTTTTTTGAGCAACTTACCCAACACTGTTGGAGCATTAGGATTGCTAGACAAGGGCTTAATGAACTCATTTTTGTGAAAATCTCAAATTTGAATAAAATATAATTTTTTTAATTTATTTATTTTTTTGGCGTGTAGCTCAAAATTAGGCCGTGCGCATTCCAACTCATTTTGCCAGCACGGGTCACGTATGTGTGTTGGAGCAGGGTTGGAACAAAACTGCAGGGCTCCGGCCCTCCAGGAATTGAGTTTGAAACCCCATGGGCTAGACGATTTAAATGCACACTAACCTCACTGGTGCCACCACCTTCATGGGTTATGAAGAGGATATGGCTGCACCTGCATGCTCATACCTTGTATTGTGTCCACTGTTTACTCAAGGGCAGGCACGTGCACAGGTAGGGCTCAACCTGTGCAGAGCACATGCCCTTTTTGCCCTTACACTCCGAAGTGCCCTTTTTTTGGTGATGGTGTTTTTTTTTTTTCCTTCAATAAATCAATGATATTGGTCACCCTTTACATCTGTCTGTATGCTTTACAAATATTTAGCTAATGAAAGGTATTAAAAAGAGCTTGTGACTAAATCTTGTTGGATCCGCTCAAACTGTCAGTAAACCTCATAACTCCACCCCCTCTAT